CACCAATGGACTGGCCTATGACCCTGCAAGCCAGCGCTTTTCCAAGTCTTCTATCAGTGCTAGAAAGTGGTTTAAAATAATCAACAGGGAACTCTAGTTGCACTGCCAGCCTAACCCAAAATGTCCCATAGATAAATAAATATGAATTTGATGGTAGAGCTCTGGATTTTTTCTGGATTCAGGCAAAGGAGTTGGGCTTTCATAGTCCTGAAACTTCCAGGAATTTCCAATTCTCTGAAAGTGCATGAAGTAATTCTGGTGACACAGTAAGGCATCTGACTGCTAACCAGGTTAGTGGTTCAAACCCACCAGCTGCTCCAGGGGAGGAAGATGAGGCAATCTACTTCTGTAAAGATTTACCACCTTGGAAACCCAATGGGGTTGCTATGAGTTGGAATCAACTTGATGGCAGTGGTTTGGGTAGAGGGAGCACTGGCAGTGCCCACTAGAGGAAAGTCAGATAATTCCTTTTCTTTGTTCCACACCACAATCTGATGTAGTTGCCTATCATCCATTTATCACTCAGTATAATCATTGTGCAAAATACTTCTTTCAAAGCATTGAAAAGCAAAGATGTCACCTTGAGGACTAAGTTGCACCTGATGCAAGCCATGGTATTTTCAATAGTCTCATATGCATGCAAAAACTGGACAATGAATAAGGAAGATTGAAGAAGAATTGATGCCTTTGAATCTTGGTGTTGGCAAAGAATAATGAATATACTGTGGACTGCCAGAAGAACAAACAAATCTGTCTCAGAAGAAGTACAGCCAGAATGCTCCTTGGAAGCAAGGATGGCTAGACATTGTCTCACTTACTTTGGATGTTACTAGGAAGGACAAGTCCCTGGAGAAGGGCATCATGCTTGGTAGAGGGTTAGAAAAAAAAAAAAGAGAGAGAGAAAGACCTTCAGTGAGCTGGATTGACACAGCAGATGCAACAATGGGCTCAAACAGCAATGATTGTGAGGATGGCACAGGATCACTATGAGTCAGAACCTTGGAACCAACTTGATGGCACCTAACAACAATGATCACTGTAACAGTTCACATATCCTTCTCCCATGTTGGACCAGACTATTAGTTGAAGCCCAGAGATCATATATTATCGACCTAAACACAGCTAGCACATTGCTTCAAACATAATAACTAATCAGTTATTATGTGTTGAATGAATGACTAAATTGACTAGACTATTAAAAGAGTGGTGATAGCACATGGAGATACTTCGCTTTGATAGTAAAAGTATGTTCATTGTCACCTTTCCAAGACCAGCCCTAGTGTGCTTGATAATTTTCTCAGCGACCTGTCTTTTCCCAATAGATATGTTGTTGCAAAGGCAATAAGCCACAGCTGCTGACTTACATCCAGGAAGAAAAGATACTGACCACCTTGGAAATCTTTCATGCCTACAGGTAAGTTACAGCAAATCTCAACTTCCCACAAAAAAAGCTAGTCTACTACAGTGCTTTGTATACATTTGGTGGCAAATAGTACTGTCTGAAACAGAACAGATTATGTGACAGATATAATAGATTTTAAATTTTTTTTAAAAAAAAGAGAGAAACAGAAAATCTTCAACCAACTTTTTTATTGTGCTTAAAATATTTTGTCACACTGTTTCATGAGTAGGGGAAGAAAATACAACCAAATGAGTGTCATGATGAACATTTAGGTATAAAATGCTTAATCTTCAAACCAGTTGAGGCACTGCCACTGGTGTTAAGAATGTTGTATGAAATAATCATATATTCTTCCACAATTTAATATGCAATTGAGGCATTATGCTAAAAATATCAAGGAAGAAGCCTATCAAATATTAAATAACAATAGCAATGCTGAATGAATAAATGTATTTAGAAATAGACTAACTGAAGGGATGGGGGTTAGTCCAAAAACCAGTAGCCCAAAGCCAGAGGCACTGCCTTTCCTGTCACTGGGATACTTGACAAGCTATTTCATATTCTCCGCTCCTCTGGCAGAAGCATATCCTGTCTGGCAAGCCATAGTTCCTAGTTGTTTCTCAGCAATGCTCCAGGGCTAAATAAGATAAAATTTATGTGTTCTGCTTTAAGCTCCATTGAGGAAAGGCACTAAATAAACTTCAGGATAATTTATGAATCTTAAGCTTGCATTAGTCATGTCCAAGTCCATCGCATAAAAGGCAAAAATGGAAATAGGAGGCCAATTCTGGGTGCCTGGTGAAAAGCTCAACAAACTTTGGGCAATGGTGATAAGCCCAGACAATACCACTTATATACATGAAATCCTTGACTAATCCAGAAAAGTTTCAGAAAAATCTAACTCCTTCCAATGCCCAGACAATAGTTCACTGACAGAACATCTGGTTTATGAATCTGAGAAGTGTGTTATGGCATCCCTAGTCTGAGCTCCAATATCTAATTTCCTTTTAATTTGCCATAATTATTTTTGTAAAACTTGATGGCTCTACTCCAGTGCATGTACATAGCAAGGTTGCCAAAATCTTGTCTTCTCTTCAAAGCCACATTCTTAGGCCAGCTTCTCCCTATTTTATTTCCTTTCCTTCCAGTAGGATTTTACCTTCATCTCTCTGCCACTTAATTTGTGTCTATTTCTTTTAGCAATCTGTGCTGGTTAGGAGGGACAATAAAAGTCTAAGTTGAAGACTGAGACAAGAGCACGTTGGAAATCCAATCCTACTAGAAAATTGTTCTCACTTGTAGTGATGATTTGATATTGCCATCTTTGGTTGGTTTTTTGTCTTGTTTTGTTTTGTTTTGAATAACGGCCATCCTAACTACAACAATCAGCGCAGCTGAGTTCCATCAAGGAAAGTTCATCAGGGTATGGTAAAGGCATCATTCAGAAACTGTGAGGGTCCCAACGGATCACCAACCACTTTTCCCAAATCAACAAGTGACTTAATGATTTAAGTCATAATCCCATGCCTTCATCAAACACTTTCTCTGGCCTGGAGGAATGTGTTTCTTTGGAGTTTAAAAAGAAATCTAGAAGGAAAATACTATTCGTATGAGCATGACAAACTTTAACTGATTAACCAAATCAGAATAATTTTTCCAAGAAAAGGCACATTAATTTCCATCACCCTAAGGAGCTCTGGTGGCACAGTGGGTAAGGCACTTAACTGCTAACTGGAAGGTCAGCAGTTCAAACCCACCAGCTGCTCTGCAGGAGGAAGATAAGGCAATCTACCTCCATAAAGATTTACAGCCTTAGAAACCTTATGGGGGTCACTATGAGTCACAATCGACTCAATAGCAGTGGGTTCTTTAACCTAATACCATTTCTTTTTAGAAATACACAATAAGGTCCCATTAAGCCATGGTAAAGAGGAAGGAAAGGGAGCTGCCCTTCAGAAGTGTCTCCATTTGGAGAGGAGGAAGTCAAGGGGAAAATCACTCTCCTCTGCCTCGCACAGTATATTTGTTCACCTCATGAGGATGCCCATCCATTTTCCTCCCTTCAGAAGTTCCCATGGTTACAAAATGGCCTAGCACACACTCATGCATATCTATATTTTAAAAAAGGATAACAGATCACTGGGATGCAAAATGGCCTCCTGCAGTTCATCTCAGTTGGTCATTTTGCTTTTGAGATGCTCCTATTCACTCACTTCCCCCAGCACCTCAAGTCCAGTGAATAACGTGAAAAGGGGGAAACACCTATTTTAAGAAACTGGAAATGCCAGGTAACTGCTTTAAGACTATTAAGATTGTATCCTCCACACACACTAATAAGAGATGGAGTTCACTTAAAAGGAAAAAGCTCTGGAGATCAAACACTTAGGGCTGCCTTTTCTTCCAGACTCTTAGAAGACTTGAAGAGTACAAATATGTTTCTTTGGACTACAGAGGGAATTTTAAATTTTAAATTCTAAAATGTCTTCAATCGAGAACTTTTTCAAAAAGGTTTTCTAAAATAGAGGTAACATCAAACAAGCCAAAAGAGAAGGGCACTTTGCTTCCTCCTCAGGGTGGCATGTGTCCCTTTGCACTAAAGGGACACACGAAAGCCAAATGTTCCTAATGGGAAATTAGAAAATCATCTTCTCAGTGCCTGCTCATTTCAGAAACAGGAGAATGCACACATAGGGGGTAACAGGACAGACAGAATGAGGCGCAAGAAAAATATCTGGGCTAGAGCTTTCTCCAGCAGACAGACATAACTACCGAGGTTCGGACAGACTAGATAAAACTGTGGAGATTACATCTTCTCGTTTCCCTGCTGCTGAGTGACTAGGAGCTTGGACTTCTTCCGGGACTTGAAGCTATATTCTTTTTTCTATTTGATAAGCTCAAATCCTTTGCCAAGTAGCCTTTCTGCCAGCTTCATTCATGCAGACTTTAACAGGGCAATCAGCTACATCAGACACAAGCTGGGAGGCACATTTCCATTCCAATAGGACTAAAAGTGAGGGCAGGAACTTCAACAAAAAAACCTGAAAAGTGAAGACCCAAACTATTTCTAATTTATCTTAGAGGTTAAAGATGCTGTCTGATACTGCATCCAAAATCTAGCACCACATTCCACAGAACAGTACACCTCCAGGCTATCCCCATGTGTCTTGTCTTCATCATTGAGGGATACCAGTTTAATAGATTGATTTTTTTTTTAATCAATGCATTCTATTTAGGCCCCCTGCAAAGCTGTAGGTTAAAATGGTATGTACCACTTAGCTATGCCTAACCCACTAAAATGGACAAATAGCAACAATTCAGCAGATAGTGTTTGAGCAATAGTAGCTTAGGGATTTATTTTTGATGGTTTGGTTTCCTAAAGGAGCAGACTCAGATCGTTTCTCGTATTGTTTCTTTAAGTCCTAGAACTTTGAACAGATACTGTTTAGATCCAACCTGGTCTCCTATCCAAATAACAAAAATACATTAAAAACCAAAGAGCTCAGAGAATATAGGCCTGAAGCAGTGGGAGCTGAGTGCTCGGTGCAGCATCTAATGGCACTGCTCAGCTCGTCCTGGACAGCAGAACGCAGAGGCCCAGCTACCAGAGTCGACAGGAGTCCACGCCTCTGTTCATCGTGGAATTGAGTGGGCAGTTAAAAGCTTTCCGGAACTCTTCAAAGTTGCTAATTGCACCATTGACTCTGCAAAAGATATTTCAAAGTGCACGTCACTTAATTTTTACATACCAACAAGTTCTGGATAGAACTGTAGCAGTGTGTTGCTAGAAGGGATGTTGGCCTTCAGTTAGGCTGTGTAGAGAGACAACTGAAGCCCATAATGATTCAGTAAATTTCCCCAAAAAATAAATAGAGCTGAGACCAGAACCACCTGAATGTCAGGCAAATGTTCCCACTACTCTGGCAACTACATCAAATTCCTATAAAACTGTACCATCACCAATACTTAGCTTTCCTAACTAATTTTAGTTTATTTTTTATGGATGGTATAACTTATACACAGCAAAGCTTATTTTTGTTTTCATGTGTATATGCCCATATTACTGCTACCTAGATCAAGACATAGAACATTCCAGCGTCCAGAAGGTTTCCTCAGATCCCCTGCCAGCGGTACCTGCAAAGATTACCACTATTCTTACCTCTATTGCCACAGATCAGTTTTGTCTATTTTTGGACTTCATATATATGGAATCTTGCCATATGTACGCTTTAGTCTGACTTCTTTCACTTACTATTACATTTATAAGATCCGCCCATGTCGTTGCATTTCCAACTATTTTTAAAGAATTCAGTCTACAAAAATACTTCCTAAACAATCCTATTATGTTCGAAGGGTCATATTTACCTAGAATTTGGTTCATGCAATAATCACCTAATGAATGGTGGCTAGTTGGTGTCGATGAGTAATTTCGTAAGGGGAGCTACCTCCAAAATCTGGTATTCTTGCCAGTTTCCTGACTTCAGTAAAGACTTCAGATTCCTACTCAGCACTTTGATTGGAAATGCTTCTTGGAAGTGGTATTTCCATTGTGTGATTTCCACTGCACTCAAAATCTATAGTTACTGTGGACATCACTAACAAGTCAAGGGAAGAGTTTTTTAAAAATAAATAAATAAAAGTTCCCCCTCATCTAGTTCTTATTCAGCTGCATGGTCAAAGGGTTGACTTAGTGACTCAGCATTCTCAGTCACTGACTATTTCTTCCCTAATGACTTTGTTACCTGTGGACATCTGAATGACCATAATAGCTTGAATCCAAAAAATCCTCATGAGCTCTTGAGTTTTAGCTGGGATCTATGGAGAGGGATGTATATTTCATAGTGTGACTCACCCTGGGCAGTTAAAGATAGAATTTAGCTGATAATTAGTGAGCATACTCTGCAAAATGTCAGCTAAAATCCAACATTGTAGGCAACTAGTTAGTAAAAGGAAATTAGTTTCTAAAAATTTATCCGTTGAGTAATTAATCTACTGTGTGGTTTCATCCTGCACCATTTGTCAGTGGGAACACATTTTAGTCCATTATAGGCCATCAGCCTTCAGACAGTTCAGGCCAGTGGGAGAGACTTTCCAACACAGTGATTAGATTTTTATGCTAGTGGGTAATTTATAGTCAATTCTGAAGCATTTCTACAGCAAGGTTTTAGGAATAAGACTTTAAAATAGAGAAGAAACTTTAGATGGTTTCCTGCAATATGCTAATGAATTCATTTAAGCATCAAATATAAAGATACCCAGATATAATATGTTCTAAGCAATGAATGAATAAATGAAAAGTATCATAGTTTCTTGGCTTTCTAAGTACAATTCTCTGTCCCCTACTATAGACAGATTCTCTCAAACTATAGAACCTAGCAGAAGGTAAGTAATACTAACCTTCATTTTATTTTCATTCAATATTTTAGACATTCTGACAATTAAATAAGGTTGTAAATCACAATCCTCTCCCCTTCACACCTAACCATTTCTAAATAGGATAAAAGCTAAAATGTAGAGGGGCTTCACACTCTATATATGAATTTGAATTGCTAAGTATCACCATATAGCCTCCCTTGGGTTCAGAGCAATTCAGAAAGCATATGTTCATTTATGTTTATTGGTCAACTGCATGAAAGAACAAGAGGTATTAAACAGAATATTCTTTACCATGAAATAAACCAAGGCTCTGGGTGTTTTAAGGAGCTCTGGTGGTTCAGTGGTTAAAGCATTTGGCTACTAAACAAAAGTTTGGCAGTTCAAACCCACCAGCCATTCCACAGGAGAAAGATGAGGCAGTCTGCTTCTGTAAAGACTGACAGCCTTGGAAACTGTATGGGGCAGTTCTATTCTGTCCTATAGGGTCATTGTGAGTCAGAATAAATTCAATGGCAGTGCGTCAAGGCATTTTAAGGCAGAACCTGTAAGATCCCATCCATTTTTTTAAAAGAATAAAGACTTGTTTGGCCCAGACAAAAAAGCAGGTGGGTGAAAAAAATCAAACATTCCGGCCTACTGAGAAGTGTCATACATGTCCCCCATGAATTGCTGCCTTGCAAAATTGGAAGATAACAAAAGGGATTTAATATGAAAGCTAGGATTTGGACTTCAAATTACCTTTGGAGTCTTGATAAAGCAGTATACTAGAAGTGTGTACAAGTGATCAGCAGCAGAAACTTAGTTGAAAGAATCCTAACTAAATCTGCTTACTACTAACAAAGAAAAGATGCTTAATTTCTGGGTGGCCAGATATTTTGCCTGTCAAATGGAAATCATCCTGGTGATGATGATACAGGCTTTTGCTCAGACTACCGAGTTAGTACGTTACTGGGATGGCTGGGTAAGGGCAAAAGTGGAGAGAGGCATAGTGGAGAACTGGTGTAAACCGTTAGCCCATTTACCTAAACTGAGGGGGGCTATGAGCACCAATCTGGACTTGTTCTCGAGCAGCTTCTGGTCTGTAGGAATTACATCTCACCTGAAAGAGAAAAGCACCCTCTAAGTACATTTCTATTCTAATTATACATTTTCAACTATCTTCACTGCTCCAAATTATATTGCAGAATAATTTTAGAATCAATGGATGACAAGTAGTTTTATCTTTATCAGTAGTAACATCTATTATCCTAATCCCTAGAGTAGAAGGTTTTATCAATATGGAGTGAATCAGGATGGTTTCCAGACAAGTAACTTTAAATGAATAGACCTTAGTATATGTACCCAGGAATTGACCAATGCATTTATTTAATTGATTTGATCTTTGAAATATCCTTACCAAATTTAACCACATTCATTCAAATCAATAAACTGAATCAATCATCTGTTATTGAGTAAGGTAGAGAGAAGTGAGTACTTTGCACCCTAGATGCTTTACTTGCCTCAGCCTAGTCTGGGCCTTGGATAGGAGTACACTCTCCCACCTCCTTTGAAGGCTGGTGTTAGATGCCATCAAGTCAGTCCTGACTCATAATGGCCCAACAACTCATAATGACCCAATGACTCCTAATAACCAACGTACAACAGAACAAAACACTGCCTAGCCCTGCACCATCCTCACAACCATTGCTATGCTTGAGGCCACTGTGCCATCAATGTGTCAGTTCACCTCATTGACGGTATTCCTCTTTTTCACTGGCCCTCTAATTTACCAAGCATAATGTCCTTCTCCATGGACTGGTTCCTCCTGATAACATGTCCAAGTATGTGAGACAAAATCTCATATTCCTTGCTTCCAAGGAGCATTCTGCCTGTACTTCTTCCAAGATGGATTTTTTGTTCTGGAAGTCCATGGTATATTCAATATTCTTCACCAACACCATAATTCAAATGCATTAATTCTTCTTTGGTCTTCCTTAGTCATTGTCCAGCTTGCACATGTATATGATGCAATTGAAAATACCATGGCCAGGGTCAGGTGCACATTAATCCCTAAGGTAACATCATTGCTGTTAATGCTTTAAAGAGGTCTATTGTGGCAGATTTGCCCAGTGCAATACGTCCTTTGATTTCTTGACTGCTGCTTCCATGAATGATAATTGTGAATCCAAGTAAAATGAAATCCTTGACAACTTCAATCTTTTCTCATTCATCATGATGTTGTTTATTGATCCACTTGTGAGGATGTTTGTTTTAAGTTGAGGTGTAATCCATACTGAAGGCTATTGTCTTGATCTTCATCAGTAAGTGCGCTTCTTCTTCACTTTGAACAGCAAGGTTGTGTCATCTGCCCATTGCAGGTTGTTAAGGAGTCTTGCTCTAATCCTAATGCCACATTGTTTTTCACATAGGCCAGTTTCCCAAAATATTTGCTCAGCATACAGACTGAGTAAGTAGAATGAAAAGCCACAACCATGGCACATACCTTTCTTGATTTTAAACCATGTTAAACCATATTCTGTTGAAATGATTGCCTCTTGGTCTATGTACAGGCTCTGCATGAGCACAGCTAAGTGTTCTGGAATTCTCATTCTTCACAATGTTATCCATAACTTTATATTTTTTATGATCCACAGAGTCAAATGCCTTTGCATAGTCAATTAAACATAGGTTAACATCTTTCTACTATTCTCTGCTTTCAGCCAAGATTCATTTGACATCAGCAATGAAATTCCTTGTTCCATGCCCCCTTCTGAATCTGGCTTGAATTTGTGGCAGTTCCGTAATACTGTTGCAACTGTTTTTTGGAATATCTTCAGCACAACTTTACTTGCATGTGATATTAAGTATATTGTTCAATCATTTCCATATTCTACTGCATCACCTTTGGAATGGGTACAAATATGGGATTCTTCCAGTTAGCTGCCTTCCAAATATCTTGGCATAGATAAGTGAGCACTTTCAGTGCTGCATCTGTTTGTTGAAAATATATCAATTGGTATTCTGTCAATTCCTGAAGCCTTGTTTTTTGGCAATTCCTTCAGTGAAACTTGGACTTCTTCCTTCAGTACCATTAGTTCTTGATCATGTGCTACCTCCTGAAATGGTTGTACACTGACCAACTGTTTTTGGAACAGTGACTCTGTATACTCCTTCCATCTTCCCTTGATACTTCCTGTGTGTGGTACTTAAGGTTGTGTGTCAACTTGGGGGGCCTGGTTGAGTAGCTGGGCAGCTGGTGGTAGTTATTCCCCATGATGAGACTGGCAATCAATTCCATGTTGGGATCTACCACAAGCAGCTGAGTAGCTGCTTTAGGGATGTGGTCTCCTTCCCACTTTGGGAATGGTCTCTAGATTCTGGCACACTTGAGCACTGCATGTAGCTGAGTCATGTTAAGCAGCCTGCCATGCTCTGCCAATCTTAGGCCTTTCAGTGGACTTGAATCAATGACCTGTTGTGGTGTTTGGAAACACTGGAACTGTGCCATTTTATTTGTCAACCATGGGCTTGTTAGCCTCAGCAGCCAGTAGCTGCCTGGGTGAAGAGATGCCTCTAGCTTCATTGGGCTGGGAGCAAGAGGCAGAGCTGAAGCCCAAGGCTGAAGGGCTTTCACCCAGCCCCTAGAGCCTGGTACTTGGAACTCAGACTCCAAGCCTTCAAAAATTGTAAGAATAAACTCCTATTTGTTAAAGTCATCCCATTTGTGGTATATTTTCTGTTAGAGCAGCACAGAGGTAACCAAAACACTGGATTATTCGATATCTTGCCCATAGAATCCTTCAATATTGCAAACCGAGGCTTGAATTTTTCTTACATTCTTTCAGCTTGAGAAATGCTATGTGTTCCTTCCTTTTGGTTTTCTAACTCCAGGTCTTTGAAGGTAGGTGTGGCTTTATAAGCAGCTGTGGCCAATGAAATGCAAGCAGAAATGATATCTGTCACTTCCTGGCAGAAGTTTTCAAAACCTAACAGAAGTTTAAGAGCCTAAAGAGCAATTTAAGATGCTACAATAAGAATTCTCTTATTATCTCTTCCTTACTCCTATGGTGACCATGGATGGATGTGTCGAGATAAAGACTCCAACACCCAGGTCTTTGAATAATAACTGTGAGCGCAGCCCCCCTGCTGACCCATGTAAGATATGGAGTCTAAACAAGAAGTAAACTTTTCTTGTGCTACTCGGAAGGAAGGTTGGGCAATCTACTTCCGTAGTGATACTGCCTTGGCAACCCAAGGAGGGGTCGCTATGAGTCGGGTCTGACTCGACGGCACATAAAAACAACAACAACAATTTGTTTCTACAGCATAACCTACCTAACCATGATTTGAAGTATGTCTTGATATGTGATACAGTCTTGAAGCATGAGTGGCTAGAACACATGAATATGGGGAGAGAATATTCCAAATGGAGGAGAAAACGGGAGCAAAGAAAGACACAAGGAGAAAAGAGTTAGACATGTTTCAGGGGGAAAAAAGCAAGACATTCCATTTAGCGACCAGGTTCCGGCAAGATGGCGGACTAGGCACAAGGACTGCAGAGACGCTCTTCAACAAAGAAAAGGGAAAACAATTAACACAGACACAGAAGATAATCTTGGACCCCTGAGCCTTGAAGGGAAGGATACAAAAGTGG